AATAGGCCAAAATGATTTGCCAAAAATTGAGGGCATTTTTGTCATTTTATTCTTTTTTAATGGAGATTTTTCATGAATGAACAAAATGATTGATGATGGACAATTTCAAGGACCAAAATGAAAAGTTATGCAAATCTCAAAAACTATTTTGGCTAAAAAGCTAAAATAAAATAAAATTACCATAGGCTCCTCTCCCACTTCCCTCTCCCCTAATTCCCCTTCCCAATCACCCCAAGCTCGACCGAATCTCCCGCTATGTGATTGGATTTCATCCAGGAATCTCTAGTCTGATAGCCTTCAAAGATTTCATTCTAGAAGAATCCGTGAACCCAAACGCTCAACCGGATTCTCAAAGCATGCACCCTTGACCCTATTTGACCCCTCCACGCAGCTCCTCTTAACCAGCTTCCCCTGCCACGCAGTGCAACCTCTAAACCTATGGGCACATTTGGTGGGCTAAATGAGATTGAGCCTTAGGGATATGATTGGTTGGCAGAAACTTGTAAGACATGACTTGTAACCCAGAAGGATAGGTTAGATAACTTACTCTATTATGGTTTCATAACATGTCTAGTCATGTCCATCTTATATTTTGACACAACAAACAAGAAATTGGACTAAAGTCTATTTTAATTGGTCACATCATATCCCACCAAACAGGCCCTATATGGCTAGAAACCCCCATGGCAACCTACACCAAACCTTGAGCACAGCCCACCTTTGATGTCAAGTTAACGAAAATTTATTCGGTACTAACTTCTTCAATCCCAAACCTTGCGCACAGCCCACCTTCTCGATGCCCAATCTTCATGAAGATATGTTGCCTGCGGCTGTTCATAATTTCCATTGCCAGAAATCAAAATGTTGCAAGTCCGATAAAAACTAGCTCAAATTTAAAAGTTAGTTCAACAATTCCCGTGAAAAATAGATAATGCTTACAAGTGAAGGTGCAACGTTAGTTGTTCCTAGCAGTTCAAGATGCCTGGCTTGACAATAAGATCTCTGTCCTTAGTCTTCATGGTTGTTGAGACTTTCATGGAACGATCAGACTAACCCGTAAGTGAAACACAACAAGTTCACATGTGCATCAAACCATATGCATAACTCGAAATAATCAATTGATCAATCCAGGATGCGTTTCGTTTAGAACATTTAATCACAATATACCACACTCAATTCACACGCTATGCCGTGGTCTCCTAAAGACGATTTCATCATAGGCCAAGCTTCTGCACCCTTTTTGCTGAACAAAACAATGCAAAAGCTCTCGTGGGTGAAAAAGTATTTGTTCTCTAAAATAATTGTAATCAAATGTAGATTAAAAAACATAAAAATGTGATAAGCTCTCGTATGAAAAATTAAACAACAAAAGTAATAGGAAGAGATGTACGTTCATTAATTGTGATAGTTATGATCTTCATAAAATAAAATTACCTTTAGAGCGGTATTGTAATCATAACTAAAACTTTTTATGTTTTGAACAAAAATCATACCTAAAACTTTTTACTTAAAAGAAAGGATTGTTCATTTCCAGAAATTAATTATTGAGCAACATAACAAAAAATAGAAGAAGACACAGACCACCAAGTTCCATGTCACGGATAAGTTGTTGCTCATTTGTTAGTTTTGTTGATTTTGATAATAATTATGGATTTGCAAAGAAACTAGAGATTTGTTACTCTCTTGTTGATTTTGGGTTCCAGCAACCAGGTCAATAGAGCGGCGAATGCAGTGGCACATAGGCAGTCGCGCTTTGGTTTATCTACGTCACAAAACTTTGTGTGGTTTGAGGAGCCTCCAGATATCATTGTAGACCTCCTTTTAGAGGATAGATAAGCTTTGTAATTGTGGTGTGAATTGCTCTTTTTCCTTAATCTCTGACAAGATCTTTTCAAGGCCCAAATAAAGTATCAAAGCTTCTTTGTACGAATCATTGCATGTCACCAATGAATATTGTACTTCTCTTAAAAAAAAGGCGGAAAGTGATAATTTTGTATTTGAAGCCTTGGGTTTGAATTACTTCTCTTTTACTATAGTTTGCTAAAAGAAATTGAACATGTGGTACTTACAGTAGTATTTCATCAAAAATCATATATGCATATATACATATGGGTTGGAATATGGACACGTGACAGGGCTTAAGGACTGGGGCTTAAATCGCCTAATGCACTCCAAAACTCTTTTCTGAATTACTTCTTGGCCCTTATTTCATGTGTGTTTCGGGCTTTCTGGCTCTGTTGCATTTGTCATCAACAGAAAATATTTGGCTGTTGATATGTTAAGTACTGTGTTTATACAATGAAACAAACTCCTCCTCTACCATGTTCAAATACAACATCATTAGACTGAAATATTAAGTGGCACAGATCATTACAACACAAATTGTCATTTATGGCATGTCAAAAACGCTAAAATAGGATATAATAGTGTTTTAGAAAGCACTATGACATTCCACGTTATAATAGATTAGGGATTTTCCATATCATTTTCGAAACCCTATTGAAAACTATATTATTATAAATGCTATTGTAGACATAAACAATATCGTTTTTGAAGTGTCGTGGTTTTTTTTTTTTGTTTTTTTTATAGCGTTTCTAAAGTGTCGTTATAAGTACAATCGCCAGCATTTCATGAAGTGCAATTATTGAGATTTTTTAGAGCATGCATTGGACGCATTTCCTCCAAACAGAGAGGCCACACATGAAACTTGAAAGTAGATATGAAAGATTTGGCCAACTATACTAATACTAGTACACTAGTACAGTAGAACAGCTCCGAATCACCATCAGAGGATGCTCCCTTCCATTCTCTGAAACTTCTTTGCCTCAAACGTCTTCCGTCTCGGAAAATGATCATAGGAATCTCGTGATCATAATCGTTTATCGTACATCATGCAATAAAAAATCATTTTAAAATTTAAAAGGTGAGAATCCTTTTCCTTCCGTCTCACCCTGAATTTCCACAAAAGGAAAAAAAAAATTAACAAAAGCTACAACAAATGAAGACTTTGTGCTTTTGTATGCGAAAAATATTTTTGTTTTCCACTCGTAAGTGAGGGTGATGCTTATTACCTTATTTATCACCGTTAATTGAGTTTAAATTTAGAAATTTGTGTAGTGAATAGACACAAATCTCATAATTTAACTTCATCTAACGATGATAAATATAGTAGTAAGCAAATATACACCCTTGTATGCGTGTGATTTGTCATACTACTATTTATACATCTAAATTTGCAAAAACAAGATGGGAGCATTGAATCACAGTATGAGTTAGCTAGCTATGACTTGCAAGTTTCAAAATTCCACCCTTGACCTAATTGCTTAAAACTTCCCCAACCTTGATCAGCTTAATCATTTTAACAAGATATCTACCAAACCACCTTCACCTAACGCTCTAATCAATGATAACCACCAATTAACAAGCTCAGCACTCATATCTTACATCCTCATTAGGCCCAAATGATCTTTTTCAGACACGTGTATAGCCTCGTGGATGTGTAAGAAAGGTGAAGTTCAAAGGTTACGTACCATCGCTCTAAAGATAAGTTCACGTTAAGGTAGTGAAATTCCAAAGCAAGATTAAGCGTCACTCAGTCTCGTTTGGCACACAATATTGCATTAGAAATGATAAGCCATTATTTTAAACCTATGTTGGCGGAATAAATGAAGATATTGTATCTAATTTGGAGGTGGAAAATATATTATTTAAAGAAAATTATCAATTTTAATAATTCTCGTCAAAGTGATTGGATTAAAAAAGTAAAGTTTTCTTCATGTCTATCCACGTATAATCCTCTCAAGAAACAATTAATACGAGCCGTGGAGACGAATTAGATAAAGACAGCACACTATGCTAGTTTATATGGTAACAACAATACTTAGCCACTCGGAAAGTGAATAGGAGTTCCCACTCAAAATTGTTCGTTACCGATTTATAGAACTTTGTTTTTATGATCAGAACCGTTTATATTATAAATCAGTCATTATACAAAGATCGCCTTTGCAAAAAATAAACTAAAACTAAGGTTGTTTAGTCATTGAATTGTATAAAAATAGATGAACGAAATTGATAAAAGCATTTCGAACCATCTATGTATTTGTTATAATAGACCGATTAAACAACTTTAGTTTTAATTCATTTTTTTGCAGAGATGATCTTTACAAAGTGGTACATAATATGAACGGTTCTGATAATAAAGACAAAACTTTGTATTCAAACACGAAAAATTTTGAGTAAGAATTCCGACTCATTCTTGAGTAGTTAATGTCATTACCGTCGGATAATGGTATATTTGACTTTAAAAGGCAATATTGCACTTTTGCTTTTTATATTTTACAATTTGATATCATGCAAGAAAGAATCAAACTGAAGACTTTAGATGTCAAAAATCCGTATTATTAACATGTGAGTCAGAAGTGCTTTTGCAAGCTAGAATAATTTCATGTATAATTTTTCAAAATTAATAACGTACAATAATGCATTTATATAATTTAAATATATAATAATGCGTGAGTAAAACGGAATATCCAAGTGTTATCTGTGCCTAATTGAAATGACTGCCAAAACCTATTGAACCACATGTAGAGTTTGTTATCTTACAGTTTTCTACGGGTTTCTAAACCGTGCCATTTTAGTGGTTAAGCATGAGAAGGAAAGGGTTGCATCGCATTGGGGTTTCACGCAACGAAGAGTCAATGGACTCTATCAAGTGGGGAAAAAATGCGGTATAAGAATTGGGATCTACCATTAAGCAATTCGCATCTTATCTCTCGATTCTCAGCATCTCTCCTGGCATCTCTATCCGGATCCGAACTGTTCACAACCTGCACAAATCCAACGGCTCACATTCTCCCTCGCCCTCTCTCTCCTCCGCCCATAAATAATAAATTCGCCTCCACCAGAGACCAACACCTCGTACGCTTCACACCTCTCACAAACCTTAAACCAACACCAAAAGCCCCTCCTCTGTCTCTGTTTCTTAATCTTCGCTTACAATCATGAACGTGTTGGATTCTAATCTCGAGGCTCTTGCTGTCAATTACTTGAGCTTCGGATTGTTCACGACAACTTGGGTCGCCGTTTTGACCGCCGCCATTAGCTTCTGGAGGCTCAGACCCAGAGCCGCCGCCGCCGCCACCAGCAGTGCCATCTCTTCTTCTTCATCTTCTTCATTGAGTTTCCGCTCACAACCTGCCGTTTCCGACCTCAGCTTGCATGGGTCGTCGCCGGTCTCCGAGATAACGCAGTCAGATGCGGCGGCGAAAAAGGTGGACCCGCCATGCTCTGTTCCATCATTGGCTAATTTCGATGACGGCAGAGTGCAGCTGACAAAGGGTTCGAAGTTTGCGGTGTACTTTGAGGATAGTAGCGTTGAGAGTGACGTTGACCTGGCCGCGACCTCATCGCTTATGGCGGAGGAGGATGAGACGGAATGGAGCGGCAGCGATGAGGTGGTGGTGGCTAATTGGTGGGAGGATGTGTTGAGGTTGAGAACGGGGGAGATGGGTTGGTACAGGTTCCAGGACTTGACGGAGCTAAACGGTAACGTCGTTAGATTATGGGATGATTGAGCAGTAGAATAGTTGGTGAAACCACGTCCAGCTCGGCAAAACCCAAACGCTGTGACGTCGTTTGGTAGTTAGATTAGCAGCTGGTTTTAGGCTTAATTATGTAATAAGGTCTTGAATTTCAAGGTTCGAAGAAGAACTTGTAAATACATTTTGTTGGGTTAAACATGATAATCCACTCCAATCAAAGCAAATTGCAACGCTACTCGTTGCTTTTTTCTTCACTTGCTAATCTTCTTTTTAAGCTAATCGCAATATAATTCCTCGTTTAATCTCTGATTTAGTGTGTATGCTCATGTGTGTATTATAAAGCATATATAATTGGCAGCTGGCTGTACGAGGAGTGTTTGCAAATTGATGTTCGAATTGGCACTATCCGATGTTATATTATTATTTGCACATCAAATCACTTTTGTCTCTATTATTCGACATTCGGTTGTACATTCTCATGTATCTACGAAGTTATGTAATTAGCTAATGAACTTTATTTTTGTGTCTGTCATATCGTGCATGTATAATTAATTAGTTCGATTCATAGAGAAGTGAACAAATACATGAAGAAGTTGCTTGTCCGGCTATTGAGAGGGTGTGCCATCAACGGTGGGCCTCGCAGCCTCCTCCCTCTTTGGTTGTGTCAAGGGATGGGCAGCCATGTCCACCGAGGAATGTAAATCAATGTTATTAGGCAGAGGTTAACTCCACCTACCTTTCTTTTAGTGCCCTTGTGGCTAGATCAGTGATCTTTCGGTGTTGCAAGGCACTTAAACAATCTAAAGGCTTGGCCGTTTGGAGAATGACCCTTATGGCACAGCTTAGTCAGTTATTCTCGCAGTTCAGATAAGATTGACCACCAGTTATCTGAAAGTATGTATCGGCGGTTTTAATGAAAATCTCAATTGACAAGAAAAAAAATCAATCAGTTATATGTCTTCTTCAGTTCTCAACTATGAGAGAAATTATTTTACAATTAGTTGTATATGCTCGTATTTACTAAGTCATGTAATCTATTCACGAGGATTTTTTTTTCTTGATAACTGGTTGTTTATCCTCTTTGTATCTACGAAATCTAGTAATCAGTTGTATATCCTCTTCAATCGTGAACCTGAGAAACGGGAGCTTGTGAGGCTAACTGGGAATAACTTTCATGTACAATAATTAATTAACTTTGCGATAGAGAGAACAGCATCTGATTAATTAATTAATTAATTAATTATAATTTTTTTTGAATTAATTAAGACTAATGTGGGGGTGGTTGTGTTTGGTAGTAGACTACCAAAAGCAGCATCATTAACTTTATTCTATTGAATTAATTAACAACGCAAAATATTTTATGATCTATAAGATGAGTTGGTTCTATAATGTATGTGTTACAAACGATTGATTATGTTGATTGCAACCACGGAACCAACTTTTGAATTTATGTTGGGGTAAATTGGTAGATTTATTTGAAATTGTTTTTAAAATAACTAGAAGAGCTTATAGAGAAAATGTTTTTTAGGTCCAAAAGTACTTAAAATGCTTATTGCAAGAAACACCAGTTATGTGTTTCTTTCACGAAGCAATAAAGTGTTTTTCCAGAATTCACTTCCCATTTTACCAATGATTGGTTCCAAAACCATTTTAACTAATAACACTTTCAGTCATTTGAAAGACACTTCCAAATGAGCTGGAAGTTTTTACTTATGAGTAAAAGTAAGACTGACCAGTGTATGAATGCGATTTGGACTAAATTATAGGGGTGAAATGAAAAATGTAAAAAATAATGTGACATGCTAAAGGTCGGTTTGGCGTCTAGTTTTGTCCATAGGGGATTGTTGTAAATTACGCAATGAATGTTACAACAAGCAACCAATGGTTTCAAGTCGCCTACCAGTCTAGATAAACTGATGTGTCTATGGGATACATCGCCTAAAATGAGCTACAAAGTGATATATAGTCGGTCACATGTCAGATTATCTTTAAAGAAAATATCAAATATGTCTCATAGATATATAATAGTAACAAATGACGTACTATTTACTCTAACTAAGATGTCAAAGCTGACGTGAAAATGAAGGCCGAGCTTCAAGCGTTAAAGTTGATGCCTTGAAGTAAAGGCGTCAAATAAGTTTTTTGTTATTTTCAAATGCATTTAACTTGTTTTACCTTAAATGCCTAGTGTATTTTTATCATTTTTAAACCATCAACAATCCAATTTTTATTATATTTGTTAATGAAGCAAATAAATTTTGACATATCAGATGGAAGAAATATATCAATAATATTTCTAATTGTTAAATCGGTCATCAAATTAAAATATAAAATTTTAAATTTGACGTTTCCTTTTAAAATGCACTAAAATTCTCTTTTTACTTTTTGTCGTTTCATAAACAAAGCAGTAAAATTAATTAATCATATAAGTTGGTTTGGGGGAGAAAATGTCGTCTTGCATAAACAAACCACTATAATTAATTAATCATGTAACTTGTTTTGGTTGAGAAAATGTCTTGTCGTACGGGAAGCACTTTACTATATATTATATAACTTCCACTTAACAAAAGTATCCATCACAAAATGTATAATTAATCATCACGAATTATTATCGGAGGCAGATTCTCTACCCTTTCATTCTTATGTCTGTGTCTTTCCGTACTTTTCTGTTTGTATAGTTATGGTTAAGTCACGTCAATATTTTATATTACTATTCTTTTTTGTCTTATTATCTCTATAAAAAATATATATATAAAATATTAACGTGGCTTAATCGTGACCACACAAAACAGGAGGGCACGGAAGGGTACAAAAAATAGGAGGGCAGAGAATCTGCCTCCATTATTATCTGAACAAATGGGAACACCTTAATATACTATATCTATATATTATTCAGATTAATTTCAAATGCCATTCTTTTCCTGTGTCAATTATTCGTATGATGGGTTCCAGGTAGGAGGTTGTCCAATTGCCATAGTTGTGTTGTTTTTCCCACCAAAACCACACCCCAATTGCAGCCGTATGCTATGTTCGGGCAACGTCATTCGTAAAGTGACACGGAATGCAGACAAGTACTTATTTGTGCATAGTCTAAAATGAGATACAAAGTGATATATAGTCGGTCACATATCAGATTATCTTCAAAGAAAATATCAAATATGTCTCATAGATGTATAATAGTAATAAATGACGTATTATTTACTTTAACTAAGATGTCAAAGTTGACGCCATGAAGTAATGGCGTCAAATAAGCTTTTTGTTATTTTCAAAGGCATTCAACTTATCTTACCTTAAATGTCTAGCATATTTAAGTGTATTTTTATCATTTTTAAACCATCATCAATCCAATTTTTTTTATATTTGTTAATGAAACAAATAAATTTTAACACATCAAATGGAAGAAGGATATCAACAATATTTCTAATTGTCAAATCCGTCATCAAATTAAAATATAAAATTTTAAATTTGACGTTTCCTTTTAAAATGCACTAAAATTCTCTTTTACCTTTTTGTCGTTTAACAAAGCAGTAAAATTAATTAATCATATAAGTAAAATTAATTAATCATATAAGTTGGTTTGGGGGAGAAAATGTCTTGTCTTACATAAACAAAGCACTAAAATTAATTAATCATGTAAGTTGTTTTGGTTGAGAAAATGTCTTGTCGTACGAGAAGCACTTACATTAATCATCGCGAATTATTATCTGAACAAATGGGAACACCTTAATATACTATATCTATATATTATTCAGATTAATTTCAAATGCCATTCTTTTCCTGTGTCAATTATTTGTATGATGGGTTACAGGTAGGAGGTTGTCCAATTGCCATAGTTGTGCTGTTTTTCCCACCAAAACCACACCCCAGTTGCAGCCGTAGTCATTCGTAAAGTGACACGAAATGCAGAGAAGTATTTATATGCGTATAATATATGAGCTCGTTTAAAAATATTTTTAAAATAATTAAAAGTGTTTTTAGGTTTTAAAAATACTTCAAATGTTTTCTGTAAGAAGCAGCAATTATTTGCTTTTTGTATGAAGTATTTTAAGTATTTTTTTCATGATTTACTTGCATTTTTATTAAGAATTGATTTCAAAAATATTATTAGTTATTTTAAAAATACTTACAAACGAACTTTATATCTTTTTTGTGTTTGTATCTTTTTTTGTATATAAGTTTTTCTAACTTGTTAGAAGAAAATATACTTCTCATCAAATCATCGATTAAGAAAGTTTACACTTGTTCTACGTAAGTTTCTCTCGAACTACATGACCTTTTGATAATAATAATTGAGCATGAAATCCCGAATTGTAAATAAAATATGCTCAATAGCTGGATCGAGTGGTTCGTGAAACGGATGCATTGTCCTATGTTACCAGCTCAGTTGGGTCCTACTCCTACTAGCCCTTCAGAAAAAGTTGGACATCCATCAAGAAACCGGACCCATAAAAATTAAAATGGTGGGACCTCAAAGTTGTGCTTCTTAACCCGCCTTTCCCATTTGGGCCAAGCAATCCACTGCTTCACGTGGACACATGGCTTACCAAAGCCATAATTCAGCCGAAAGACTTCGCTCTGGCATTCTATCAAACACCTCACACGCCGCAGATTTTGAACTGGGCCTCATCGAAAAGGAGTAGGATTTCTTTCCTCTTTTTTTGTTTCTCTCTATCTCTTATATGAACGGTCACGGTTAAGTCACGTCAACATTTTGTATTAATTTTTTATAACAAGAGAAAGATAAAATAAGAAAATATGAAAGAAGAGGATAAAAGGGGATGAAAAGAGAAGGGAAGAGAATCCTAATCCTCCTAGAAAAGCTAGCTGATACTGTCAAATGGTTTCCTTTTAGGTGAAATCCAAATAAAAATATAATATAAAAACAAAATGTTCTACACAAAAGCGAGTGGAGATTTTCTTCGGATCCCTTCTACCATGATCCACTGAATCCTTCAATTCTCTACTTTCTCGAATGGGTGCTAGCTCTAATTGCCGGCCCACCACGCCCACACCGTCGTCTTCCAGCCTCCGGTTGCCCAAAATTAGAACTAAATCCTCCCAGAAAGAGAGAAGAGAGTCGGGGAGAGAGAGTCAGAAGGGGGAAGAACATGAACAAGAAAAAAGTAAATAAATAAAAAAAAGAAAGTTAATTATTTCCTAGGCTTTCGATGTTCAATTGAAGGACAAGATTCCGAATGGAAGGGAACAGAGAAGATCCTATTTTCTTACGAAAGTGCTGTATATTCACAATAAAAGTGGAATCTAGGTGGTAAGTCTGGGGAAAAAACACAAGCACATAATATTGATGGTGGTGTATGTACAATTTTTTTTAATAATACGCAAAATTGATAAGTATGGAAAATGAATGACTGAGATAGAAAATTGAAAATTTAATAGTTGTAACTTGTTAAAATCAAATCCAACAGCTAAAAAACCAGCAACACTAAGTGATCTGTAATACTAAAGAGACCACTTGTGCAATTTATAGGGTGGGGTAGGGATTTTCTTAAAGCGCATTCCAGGCTGCAATTCCACATGTTTTGTTTCAAAACTTTCACCACGGACATGTCGATTTCATGAGAAGGTTGCTCTGCTGGGCTCACAAGAGGTCGATTATTATCGCGTTTCAAATAATAATTCATTGATAACTTGAGGGTCCCATGTTTTCCAATCAAAATTCCCCACATATTCAAAATGAGATTTACTTTGAATTTCTGTGTTTGAAGTTCGTGAATCAAAAGATTCAAACCGTTTAAGAGAGAAAAAGATATTCAAACCATTCAAATTTTTTGAATTTTTATTAATGGATCAATGATATGGACTAATACAAATCATATGATTAAAAATAAGTAATCCAGATCTTCTGACCCATAAACTCTAAATGTAGAAATCTAGAATGAATCTCAATCCCACTCATTTCATCAAACGCTGTATGCAAATGCGATGCTTTCGAATACTGACCATTATAATTGCGTCTGTTTGGTGATGCTCATTAAATCATAGACCCCATCAGGGCCATAGCTTTTTTTCCTTTCTTTTTTTTTTTTTTTTTGGAAAAATAGGGCCATAGCTTCTTGGCATGGTATATTCTTGCCATGACCATGCGTAAAATCTCATCTAATATATAAAGAGATGAGATAGTATATTCACACATCTTAAATTACTTCTCACACATCTTTTTAATTTTTTAATATTTTTCTATCAAATGGTAGTGGTGTGTAGAAAATATTATAAAATTAAAAGGGTGTGAGAAAAATAATTTGGGGTGTGTGACTATAATCTCTCTAAAGAGATATGTCACTCAGTATTATTATCGGGTGGTATTCCTCTTCAGTTATAAGTGAGAGATTTTAGTTTCAAATTTCTTGGATGACAACTTTGATACCAAATTAGGTTTCTCATTGTGTGACTTAACTGAACTTTCCCTTTCCTTAGTGTAAAATATATCATTGTACTAAACATATATATATATATATATATATATATATATATATATTATATTCACACACCTCAAATTGGACAAGAATTGTCTGCCCTCCCACTTCCGGTGCCCTCATGTGCCCTCCTGTTTTGTGTGGTCACGGTTAAACCATGTTAACATTTTATATTGTTTTTTATAGAGATAATAAAACAAAAATTAATAGTAATATAAAATGTTGACGTGGTTTAACCGTGACCATACAAATAGAAGGGCACGGGAGGGCACCAAAAGTGGGAGGGCAAACAATCCTTGTCCTCTCAAATTACTTCCCCCGCACCCTTTTAATTTTTTAATATTTTTCTATAAAATGTTAGTGATGTGTTTAATATTAAAAAAATAAAAAAGTGTGAGAGAAGTAATTTGGAGTGTGTGAATATAATCTCTCTTATATAAACTCCTACGATTTATAGCTAGGTTGTAATGTTTTCCCGTCAGATTTATCTTGTTAAGAAAATACTTACTTTGTCGAATAAAAAAGTCCTACACCCAACCCAAGATCGTTTCTTACGGATTAAATCGGGTCATCAATCTCATTCGTTGGCTTTTTAAAGAATGATGTTTCTAGTGTACAAACGAGAGGATATGAACTATGAAGTATGAACAAGATTGTTTAATCAAAGTAATCAAGTGTCCTTTTGTGTTGTTGTCTATAAGTGCGTGAGTGAGTCTCAGATGTCCAAAGGCGGGCATGGAGTTGCCGACGAAATGTCCCTAAAAATAGGATATTTGTCACTGTTTGGTGTCCTCATGTATTGGATATATAGAGCTTGGTTGAAACAGATTGGCCACTCAACGTCATTAGAGAGGAGAAAACAGGGTGGACATGCACTGTACGTGTCGAGGGAGTTCGGTTATTGGTTAATGAATACATGTTTGCATAGTTTGGTTGGTTAGCGATAGGTTGAAAGGTGAGCAGCTATTCTACCAGGCAACGGGGCTGGTTGCATTTATTTGGATCTTGACCGGTCCCCAATACATGCCAAAACTAGCCACAAATGGGGGCGCTTAAATTGCCTGTTACAAGTTTGAAAAATTGTCTGTATGGTTTGAGTATTCGAATTTCTTAACCAATGATTCGTTTCTTAGTGTTTTAGAACGGTTAAAAACGCTTTTAGAACGGTTAGAAACGCTTTCAAAACAACAAAACTATTTACAGTAGTGTTCTTCAAACAAAGAACAAGTGCGTCCTACATAAACATTTATTATAGCTCTCAATGTCGGTTCATGTATTACCTTGGTTTTCATTGGTACCAAGGACTATCCCATAAACAAGACAAATACTCTTGAGCAGTGTTTTAAAAGTCTCTGTCTAAGCGTTAGGTGGTTGGCCATCACCCAGATTAATGCCTAGGCATATGGTCATCTTTGAGATTTTGAGGTCCCTGTGCGAAATTTGTAAAAGGGTACCTCCTTAAGATAGTTTTAAGTTTTAAAAGAGTAGGACAATATATTGATGCTAGAAAACATTCACTTAAATAAAAACAAAGTCACTTAAACCTGTAAACGGGTCACCCGAACCCAACCCGTTAAACTAATGGGTGACCCGTTTCACCCGTTAATAATAATATTTTTTTTTTTTGCATAAAGTTTATTTTTTGTTATTAAGACTTTACTAAAATTACTAAAATATCCTCAACTAACGGGTGCTAACGGGTTGTAACTGGTCTAACGGGTTGACTCAAAGTGACTCGTTATTTAATGGATTGTTAACGGGTTCACCCGTTAGCGACCCGACCCGTTAAGCATCCATCCAAATAGAAATATTAACGGGTTGGGTCGGGTCGGGTTAACGGGTTGGGTCCAAAATGCCAGGCCTACTTAGTACTATGGTCTAGTGGTATTCCTTTTCACTTGTAAGTGAGAAGTATTAGGTTTGTTTCTCACCAAAGACAAATTTGAACCACATTGTTGTTTACTCATTCTACCCTATTAGTGTAGATAATATCATTTGTTAAAAAAAAAAATCAAAACAAACTTTAGCAGTCACTGATTGCATGTTTACAAATATTAATGATAAGTAAAAAAAACTACAAACATAACCTTCACTAAATAATAAAAAATTGTTATATCTTAAACAACCAAACATGAAAAAAAAACTTCAAAACTCTAACTTTAAAGTTTCACTTAAATATATAATTTTATTATATAATAAAATTAAGAAATTATAGTTTTTTAGGGTGTTATTATTGACACTCAAAATATCTCATTGTACTCCAAGTTTTTATATTTAGAAAGAAAATAAATACTCTTATAAGGAGTGCACAATGTGGTTTTAAAGTGTTAACAAAAACAATTTTTTACATATCGAACATTATTCCATGATATAAGACGAAAAAAATTTTAGGGGTCCTTTCAAATTTTAAAACCTATGCGATTGCACATTTCGCTCCCTCCCAAAGCCCTCTCTGCCTAGGCATTTAAAAAAAAAAAAGGATGCCTAGGCAGGTCTAGGAGTGCTATCAATTTTATAACCTTTTTTGCTTTATTTAAAAAAAAAATGGTTTAGGGAACTTATATTTGCATTTTATGTTTTTAATAAATTGTAAGAGATCCCACTTAGTTTCCTGAACTCTAGACCTCTATCCGTCATCTGACTAGCCTCTAGTATAGTATTGTTTAGAATATTGCTTTGAGTGGTCGAAACGAATACCTCTACGTTGACAATGTAGGCATTGGTTGGTTGAATATTGAATATAGGAGTGGTTGAAACTTGAAAACAACATATCGATCTTCAAATTTCAAGAAAAATTCAACACTAAAAACAGTACAGATCAATAAAATTAGAGTGAAAAGAGCATGGCTAGGGTTTTAAGGTTGTTCCTTCATAAATAAGGAACAGAAAAAATGGCTTTTCAACGATACAGAACCAAATAAAGTGATGATTAAGATGTCACTGAGAAGACTAATACTCAAATGAAGTGCCATTTACGATGTGACTGAAGAATTTTGGATATTTATTTTATTTATTGATTTTTTTAATTCATTTGATTCAAAAAATTATGTAGAGTGTGAAAAATAAAAAAGTGTATGCTGATGGTGCCACATAAAAATTTTACCTTTGACGTCGAAGATGGAATCAATACAAAAAAAAAAAATATCAAGAAAAATGAAACGTTACGACAAAAGAAATAAGATTAGAAAACTAAAATATCGACTTCAAACAAAAAATTATTAATCGATTTATCAAAAAAAAAAAAATATTAATCGAGAAAGATATATCTTCGAATGTTCTGAATTTCTAGATACTGTTACAAAATGTAAACGTCACTATTCTTTGTTTCCTTCTTTTATTTTATTTCCATTAAAGCAGTTTATCAACATTAAGGAAAAAACCATTTCCTAATCTAATTAGGTTGATTAATTTAATTATTTAAATAAAACATTCCTAGTCTAAACCAGAGATTTGCCCGTTTACTTCCCCACAACCCCTATATATACCCAAACCCCCCAAACCCCCCAAACCCCCAACCCCCAACGACCACCACCAGTTATTTTCCACACTCTTCACTCTACTCACCCCCACTCTTCTGCTCTTTATACCCATCGCCGGAAAACTCGTACCCCACCGAAACGATGCGTTTCCTGCTCTCTCTTCTCCCTCTCCTCGTCCTCCTCCTCTGCTCGCCTTACTCCGCCGCCGCCGCCGCCGCCGCACAGAAACACACTCCACAGCACAACCCAGCATCAACTCTCGTCCGTTCATCATGTCGCCACGCCACCTACCCCAAAATCTGCCTCCGCACACTCTCCGACTACGCCGGCCCCGCCAAGACCCCCCGCGACCTCGCCCAGGCGTCCGTGAGCGTCAGCCTTGCCCGCGCCCGCCGCGTCTCGGGCTTCCTCGCCCAGCTCTCCGCCAACTTCCAGGGGACAAAGAGGCAGCGCTCGGCGATAGGCGACTGCGTGGACCTGATGTCGTCGTCGGTGGACGAGCTGAGCGAGACGCTCGGCGAGCTGCAGCACCTCCGGGAGGAGACGTTTCTATTCCAGATGAGCAACGCCCAGACGTGGCTCAGCGCCGCCCTCACGGACGACGACACGTGCCTGGACGGGATTCAGGAGGCGGATGTGAAGGCCAAGGCCGCGGATGTGAAGCGGAAGATTAAGAATGCGGCTAGGGTTACGAGCAACGCGCTGTACCTGATCAATCGCCTTGACGAGAGCCGCGGACGGCCCAGATCTAGACCTTGATGAAGATCGTGATGATGGACGGCTGTGATTCTGTCAGTATGGGTCTCAGTGTCGGTCCATGCCGACGATGGTGTCGTACTTTCTTTTTAGTGTCTACTTTTTTTTTTTTTGTAAAATCTTGTTCAAGTTGTTAACGAGTATAGTAATGATGCTTACATATATAATATAAAATCTTTTGTTAGTTTTGGGATATTTTACTTATCAAGATCTTATTTATTTTAAAAGTAATATTTGTAAGCGATAGATTGATCGATAGATTGATCTGATGAGTGAGTGTTTCCGGTGCACTCACTTACATTTAAAAATAATATTTGTAAGTGATGGATTGATCTGAAGCGTGGTTGTTTGATGATTATTTTACTTATCAAGATCTTATTTATTTTAAAAATAATATTTGTAAGTGATAGATTGATTTGATGAGCGAGTGTTTCCGGTGCACTCACTTACATTTAAAAATAATATTTGTAAGTGATGGATTGATCTGAAGCGTGGTTGTTTGATGAGTATTTTTTCATTTGTTGGTACGTCAAACAACCATGCTCTTGATGATCCTTAATAATGTATGTTGAAAAATTGTGCTATGAAGGACTAATAACTCATAAATAATTACACCAACTCCATTCAGAAACAATACCTTTATGTTTCCTTTTTTAGCTCTTATATTTTATCTTTCTTCTCACAGCAAAATAATGGTATACCCTCTCACTTGACTATAAAAAATGGGAAAGATATCATTTTCAGATCTCTTCCATCAAGATCACCGGATCAAGTAATCTAAGCCTTTGAAATTTCATCTAACAGCCTATCTATTTTGATTTATTAAAAGGTGTAATAATTTTTGACGATTGGATAAAATTTCAAAAGCCTTTGAAATTTCATCTAACGACCTATCTATTTTGATTTATTAAAGGTGTAATAATTTTTGACGGTTGGATAAAATTTTAAAGGTCCGGATCACTTGATCTGGTGACTTTGGTGGAAGAGATTCGGAAAAGATCTTTTTCCTAAAAAATGGGGAGAAAAGGGTTAAATTCGGGTCAGTACTTCCGACCCGCCCCAAAAGGAAATCCTCTTTTGTTGACAGGCTCGTCAAGCCCAAATTGACGTAAAGATAGTCGGCGCGCGCTTACTAACCCAGGGACTCCTAACCCGCCACTTCTAACTGGGCCACCCAATTCCCAAAACGTAACTGAAAACTTGACCCGTAAATCGGAGACAGGTGTCGAAACAAGAATGCAGGCAGAGGGTGGGTAGAGGCTTAATGGGCACAGCAGATCCCAACTCTCTCTCTCCCCCTAAAACCCTAGTCTTCTCCTGAATCCATCTAAGCTAGGGTTTTTCTGCAACTCCGCAAAACTCCCGCCTAAACATGGAAGGCATAGAAATGGACGATCCCCACGCCCTCCCTTTTAACGACGACGATGACGACATCTGCGCCTCAATCCTCACTCGCTTCAGCAGCTCCACGCGCGAGGACCACCACCACCTCTGCGCCGCTGTCGGCGCCATGGCCCAGGAGCTCAAAGACAAGAACCTCCCTTTGACTCCCGTCGCATACCTGGGAATCACATGCTCCTCCCTCGACGGCCTCGCCTCCCAGCTTGACCCTCCCGGTCACGTGATCGACGCCCTCCTCACGATTCTTTCCATTGTCTTTCAGAAAGTATCGGCGGCGATTATCGTGAAGATAAATGACTTCTTGTCGGAGCTCTTGGTCCGCGTTTTTCGGTCGCCGTCGTTGACGGTGGGTGCCGCCGTCTCGGGATTGAAATGTATATCGCATTTGCTCATTGTCAGAGGCCGTCTCCACTGGTCTGATGTGTCTCAATTGTATGGATTTCTATTGAGCTTCGAAACCGACTCCCGCCCTAAGGTGCATTTTCTCACATTTTATTTGCCTTTCGAGTTCTTATGGTTCATGTTGATTGTATATCATAGAATTCAGATTATTCCGGTCATTTATTATATAAATTCGATGAATTTGAGGCTTATCAAACTACTATACGGCACAATTGTAGCATATTTTGGTAAATATCGATTGTTATGATCGAATTCAGATTTCAATTCTCTTACATGTATGTGAATGTGTGCTGATTGGATTAAAAAACAGGTGAGAAGACAATCTCATTTGTGTCTTCGTGATGTGTTGCAAAGTTTTCAAGGAACGCCGCTCCTTGCACCTGCAAGTGAAGGGATAACTAACTTATTTGAAAGGTTTCTTCTTCTTGCCGGTGGGTCAAAGGCAGATGCGAGTGAAGGACCCAAGGGAGCCCAAGAGGTCTTGTATGTTTTGGATGGTTTGAAAGAGTGTCTGTTTCTTATGTCAATCAAGTGCAAAACCAATGTCCTCAAATACTACAAAACTCTTTTGGAACTGCGCCAACCACTTGTTACAAAGCGCATAACAGATAGTTTGAATATACTTTGTCTCAATCCATCGTCGGACGTTTCTTCTGAAGTGTTGCTCGATCTATTGTGCTCATTAACTCTATCTATCTCTACGAATGAGACTTCTGTGGATGGCATGACATTTACAGCTCGCTTGCTGGGTACTGGAATGGGGAAGGTTTATTCCCTTAATAGGCAAATATGTGTAGTTAAACTCCCTCTCGTATTCAATGCCCTCAAAGGTATGTAATGTTTTGTCCTCCATTGACTTTAGCAGCGTGTGTTTTACCTTCTTATTCGTTAAAGAAATCTTCTCTAAGTTCCTGTCTATATCTGTTCTATTGTAGAAAGCAAAACTCAAAAAGTTCTGTTGTGTTTTTTCTTTGATTTTGGCAGATGTGTTGGCATCTGAGCACGAAGAGGCGATACACGCAGCAGCGGACACATTTAAGAGTCTCATTCATGCTTGCATAGATGAAAGCTTGATCAAACAGGGAGTTGACCAGATTGTAATGAATGGCAAAAATGATGCAAGGAAGTCTGGGCCAACTATCATTGAAAAAGTGTGTGCTGCTATTGAAAGCTTACTTGGTTATCACTACGCGGGTGTCTGGGACCTTGCATTTCAAGTTGTTTCAGCAATGTTTGATAAACTTGGTATTACTTTTGATGAATCCGACTGTTTTTCTCTCATTTTTAACTGATTTATTTTTCAGTTCTTATTATCTCCATTTGATATAAGAGGTATAACAGCTGTTATCATGCAGGGGTATACTCTTCTTATTTCATGAGCGGTGCGATCAAGAGCATGGCAGAGATGGAGAAGTTACCTGATGAAGATTTCCCTTTCAGGAAACAGGTCTTTTCCATATTATTGAGTTTTAAAAGATTACTTCTTGTCATCGTATTGATCCCTATATTGCAAACTCGTCTATATATGAACCTTAGCATGTACTATGTCCACTATTATCATTAACTAGTTTTGTGATTGCAAGTTAAACTAGTTTCATTTTTTTAAGATTGTTTGGAAGCATCTTGTGTGGTTCTGCCTTTGTTTACACTCAATTAGTGCAACATTTACTAATCTAATGACTTTATTAATATATAGTTGCATGAATGCTTTGGATCGGCTCTTGTTGCAATGGGACCTGAAACATTTTTAGGTCTTCTACCTCTTAATTTGGAGGCTGAAGACCTAAGTCAGGTGAATGTTTGGCTCTTTCCGATACTGAAACAGTATACTATTGGTGCACGTTTGAGCTTCTTTACGGAGTCAATTTTGGGTATGGTTGGAATCATAAAGGAGAAATCCAGAAAGGTATTGAACAGCTCATACTGATTGAATGCTAGTTGTTTAGTTCAGATGGAATTTTTAGTTATGTGTTATATTTTGCAGCTGGAGTCACAAGGACGTATTGTTTCATCAAGGAGTTCAGATGCACTTGTACACGCTTTATGGTCATTGTTACCTTCCTTTTGCAACTATGCTTCTGATACTGCTGAAAGTTTCAAGGATCTAGAGCAAGTCTTGTGCAGTGCTCTTCAAGATGAACCTGAGATTCGTGGAATAATATGCTTGAGCTTGCAGATTCTTGTTCAACAAAATAAGAAAATTGTGGAAGTGAATGATCTGTTTGACAGTGAAGTAGGTAGTGCCAGACATAGAGCTATGGCCAATTATACCCCTGAAGTTACAGAAGGTAACATGAGCGTGCTCAAGTCATCAGCACGCAAGTTACTACCTGTTCTATCAGGTGTCTTCTTGAATACCACAAAAGATGATGCCGGCTGTTTGCAGGTACTTCAGCATACTGTGGTTATATGTAGGCATGTGTTTTGTTTATTTGTCCTGCAAAATACTTGACAAGAATGCCAAATCCGCATTGATTTTGTATAGTGTACATATCCTACTGGTGCAACAAATTCAGTTTCCCTGCAACTCATGCCTATCTTTGTTAAAACCATGACACGTTCTTTTATAAGAGAAAGAGAGGCGGAGGGGGAGTCATCTTTTTACTTAAATGTATTAGGTACCTCAAAGTGAACATTGAGGAACAAAGGCACATGAATAAAATGGAGCTGGCTTACTGTATAAGTTGCATCCTTTTTTTACAATTTCAAACTTTTCACCTCTCTTTTTTTCTTCCTTTGACTTCCCTTTGTCCTTTGAATATATTTTCACCTCTGTGTCCTCTCTGCTTCCCCTGACATTCTTGTCTTTTTCCATATTGGGTCCAATTTGCTGTTTGAGAATACACTTTTTGCTAGATACTTGTTTATACATTCATTACGGGATTTGTTGATAAATTTTGCATGATTAGTATTTTGTGAAGTTGAGAATAATTATGTTTGCACCTTTTACAGTCCACAATTGGTGAGTTTGCTTCAATATCAGATAAAGAAGTTGTATCAAGGTACTTTAGAAGTACATTGGTGAAGCTCTTAAAGGTTACTGAAGAGGCTAGGAAAGCAGAAAGCTCTAGAGATTTTAATACCACAAGGTACATCATTTTTTTTTTATCTCTATGATGTTTAGTTCTTCATTTTCACAATTGAGTTATTACTTCTCTATCTTAGCAGGATATCTGACCTGACGTTAATTCTTCCATCTTAACTGCAGGGCACAACTATTTGACCTGGCAGTCTCACTTTTACCTGGTTTAGATGCTAAAGAGGTTGATGTTTTATTTAGTGCAATAAAGACTGCATTGCAGGTTTGGAAATTTTTTTCCTACATCTGGTTATTTACTTTGTTTGTAGGGGATCTAGAAATGCTTGGTGAAAGGAAATGTTGCACTAAGTTACTAACTATGGCCTTCCTGGCTTCAGGATAATGAAGGTTTGATACAAAAGAAGGCATACAAAGTTCTTTCAATCGTTCTCAGGGTATGCAAAAGTTACTGATTTGTACGCTTTGAACGTTGGGGATTATCTGTATTAATGCTTTTGCACTGGACTTGAATTATTATCACCAGTCAGTAGAATATTTGGAAACATGGTTTACCAGTTCAAAGTCGTTTGCTTCACTGCTAATGTCATGTCTTAGTTAAAGAAGACATGGTTACAAGGGCACTCATATAATTTCTAGAATTATGTGCTGCTGAGCCATCTTTTATCTGCGTCGTGGTGATTTTTTTCTTTGCCCATCTCTTTTACTTATGGATCTTGTTGCTGGATGTATGGTCAGGACTGTGATTGGTTTCTTTCACCGAAGCTCAAGGAATTGTTTGATATTATGATTGAAGTGCTTCCTTCATGCCATTTTTCAGCTAAACGGCACAGACTTGACTGCTTGTACCTCCTGGTAGTCCATGTTTCAAAGGTATACATGAACACATTGGTTTTCCAAATTGTATTAAGGTGCTCTGTGTAGCATTCATTATTTGAGTATTAGAAATAAAGTTTGCTTTAGGTTAAAATTTTGTATGTAGCTATTCCATGCTTAAGAACTTAAATCTTTCTGTAGAGGGACACAGAGGAGAGGCGTCAAGACATCATAAGTTCCTTCCTAACAGAAATAATTCTTGCACTTAAAGAGGTACGTGGTTAAGCTGCAGCGATATCAGGTTTATTATGACATAAAAAAATTCTTGCACTTGAAATGCTAGAAGATCTTCCATTGCTGCAGCTTCTTGCCCTTGAAATTGATATTAATAGTTTTCTTTTTCAATGCAGGCTAACAAGAAAACAAGAAATAGAGCTTATGATATCCTTGTCCAAATTGGCCATGCTTGTGGAGATGAGGAGACTGGCGGGAAGAGAGAAAACCTGCAGCAGTTTTTTAACATGGTACTGGATATTGTTTCGGACACTGCAGCAGTTTTTTTTAATGATATTCTTTTGGCTATAATTGGTCTTCTGTGGGAAAGCAGAAATTGATATAAATTTGCAGCATGTCTAAAGCTTAATCTTATGGTCATAGGTAGCTGGGGGGCTAGCTGGTGAAACTCCTCATATGATAAGTGCTGCGATGAAGGGCTTAGCTCGGTTGGCTTATGAGTTTTCTGACCTTGTTTCAAGTGCCAGCAATTTACTCCCATCCACATTTCTCCTCCTTCAGAGAAAGAACAAAGAAATAATTAAAGTTTGTTCCCTTCTCTTTTGGATCAGCATTTCGGCATTATTAGTTATTTTGAGTGCACTGCTTGATAAATCATTGACCTATTTGTTATTTCTTTTTTGCAGGCTAATTTGGGCCTGTTGAAGGTATTAGTAGCCAAATCACAAGCTGAGGGGTTGCAGTTGCATTTGAAAAGTATGGTGGAAGGCTTGCTGAAGTGGCAAGATGCTACTAAAACCCATTTCAAAGCCAAGGTGGTTTCCTTGTCAGTATGTTTGTGACACTATTCAGACACTGAGTTCAGTTGGTTTAATGAACTTCCCCAAGTTCTTATCACTTGCTGTTCAAAACCAAATATTTTTTCAGGTTAAGCTTCTTCTAGAAATGCTCGTCAAGAAATGTGGGCTTGATGCTGTTAAGGCTGTGATGCCTCAAGAGCATATGAAACTACTTACGAACATACGGAAGGTTTGTCGATGGGCATCTGCTAGAGTGAATTTTCCAGGGGTACTTACTACTAGTTTCTGATCTTCCCTTTTCTTGTTGAACACAGCTCAAGGAACGAAAAGAGAAGAAGACGGGTTCTAAATCTGAGGAAGCTAGATCTCAAGTGTCCAAAGCAACTACATCCAGGTCTCACTCTTTCATAATTTAAAAGTTAAATACATGCGTGAGCACAACTCGCATGTTTGCATATTCATTCTTATTGTAAAGACATATCACACATGTATCATGTATGTATTTGCCAATGAAATTTTTACATCTCATTTTTAACTCTAATGTTTTGGGATTTATATATATTTTTTAATCTTCATGTTCTCTAACATATTGTTATTTTCTATTTTCTTTTCAGGCTAAGCAGGTGGAACCATACAAAAATCTTTTCTGATTTTGATGACGAAGAAACTGAGGATAGCAATGCAGATTATATGGATGCCAAAACAGTCTCGGGCAGGTGTGGCAAGGCGTCCACACAGTTCAAATCTAAAGCATCTTCATTAAGGTAGGTTGTATTTGATGTTCATATTGCAATGTTTAGATCACTTTGCATCAATCATGATCTGGGTAGCTAATAGTGTTCGTTGGATCATTTCTGATGGTCTAGAAATGTTATGATAAATAACACAATCCATTTGCCCGAAATTAACTAACACAAATGTTTGAATTACAGAAGAACAAATAATAAGAACTTGCTTGATCAGCTAGAAGATGAACCACTTGATCTGCTTGATCGGCAAAGAACAAGATCCGCACTCAGATCATCTGATAAGTTAAAGCGAAAGATGGATTCTGATGATGGGCCAGAGCTAGACCCTGATGGGCGCTTAATAATTCGCGACGAAGCAGAATCATACAAGGAAAAGCCATTTGAACCTGATTACGATGCAAGAAGTGAAGCGCATAGCCACTTGTCTGTAAACTCAAAGAAAACACAAAAGCGCAGGAAGACATCTGAATCTGGATGGGCTGCCACCGGCAAAGAGTACGCCAGCAAGAAGGCTGGTGGGGATTTGAAGAGGAAGGACAAGCTTGAACCATATGCATATTGGCCACTCGATAGGAAGATGATGAGCCGTAGACCAGAGCACAGGGCGGCTGCAAGAAAAGGGATATCGAGTGTGGTGAAGATGACGAAGAAGCTGGAAGGGCAGAGTGCCTCGGCTATCCTCTCTGCTAAAGGCTTGAAGTTTAAAAAGCGGGTTCAGAAGAAAGGAGGCAGCAAGAAGAAAACTAGGTGAAGAGCCGACTGCTCTAGTTCATTCACGCTCATACAAAACCACAGGGTTCTTTCTTCTCTCTGCACCGGATAGTAATGAATTGTTGTTAGTTATATACAGTGGTTAATATATACATATTTTGTCACGCCTGTCACCTATGCTCGTATATTCGAGTTGGCCCATAAAATGTTGGGTCATCCATTTCGGAAACCACTTATGTCCATGGGTCTGTTTAGTGGTCTGGTTGAGATAGGTTGTGACCGGTTGAAATGGACTTGAGCCACCGGTGTCTTTAGGAACAAATGTGGTTTCTGTTTTTCTAATAACAAGCCACCTACAGATGAAATTAATCTTTGTTTCTGCAGATGAAAACGAATATTATATTTTACTGAGAAGAGCAAATGTTGTGGAAGCTTTTCTCCATTGTTGGCATTTGAGGACTGAATTGGAAGCTCCTAGCTAGATGGTTGTTTGGAAGTCCGTTGCGTACGTTTTCATAATAATGTACAAACCAGCATAGTTTGGTGGATTTCTGTTGAAGATATTTGTCTTGATTTGAAGTTGTGATTAATAGATTTTCGTTACAGTCGCTAGTTGTTCCTATTTTTTTTTTTTGGTCACGAAGAGTGGTTGTGACTAAATGCTTATTAGTCATTATAACCTGGGACAGGTTAAGGCTGGGTCTGCTAGGCTTACTTCTCATGATATTGGGTGAGGGAATCGGAAAGGGCTTATAAACCGGGCGGGCGGGCTTTTGAGCACACGGAAAGGGGGGAAGTGGGTGGAGGGTGCTTCTCAGCTAGAGCACGAGCTCCCGTTCTGCGGCGTGGCGGCATGGCCGATAGGGGATTGGTTTCGAGTGTAGATAGGGTAAAATCTACAGGGGTCATGCAAGTAAATAGGTCACTTTCCTTCTCTTTTGGATAAATGGGGTGGTTTAGAAGGCGCTTTCCCATCTACGGTCCCTCGGAATGAGGGGTTAGGCAGGTAATATGGGCCCTCTCCGCTAAAGACTTGAAGTTTAAAAAGTGTAGAGACATAATAAAGAAGTTGAAACGGTCCCAAGTATAATATCTACCGAACTGAATAACGGACTACTTAGAACTACAGTTTCAAGGCAAATATGTAGCAAAGGGGATTTCTGTTTCCCTGACTGAGAGTTATCTATGAAAATTAAAATTTGGAAAGAAGTTACAAGTAGGTCGGAACTCAAAGAACGTAAAGTCATCCAACTGCGGACTAAATTTCATTACAATTATCTGATCAGCCAATTACTTGTACAAGAAAACCAAAATCAAACAAGGCAACTATTGCCGTAGCAGTGATTCAATGACCGATGAGTACGATTCCTTTTAAGTTCTAACAAAAGGGTGGCTGTACGCAAACATACCTTCAGTACGATTGCAGCAAAGGTTGGAGTAGCACAGTAGATCTGTGTTTCTACTTGTATGGGGCAAACAAGACCGATGAGTTGTGGCCACCGAACCCAAATGAGTTAGACAATGCCACCTTAACGTCCAGTCTCTCTTTCTTTGGGCCCACTAGTAGTTTGTATCCTGCATTCATGTGCTGACAGAATGAGAGGATTCCAAGTACACTTTCATTGGACATTATATACCAGAAAAGGGTGACAAGGGAACAGAAGACAACATACCACGCCCTCATCTGGATTTTCCAGATTGATATTTGGATGCATCCGCCCAGTTAACATGTCAAGAACTACACTTCAAGCCAAACAAACAAGTACTGTATATGGTCTTACACATAAGGTCTAAAAATAGTACACTTTTTCCAATTTGAAAACATCACGTAAGTTACCTGTACTGCTGCAACAGCTTCTACAGCACCAGAGGCTCCCAGTAGGTGACCAATCATGGATTTTGTAGAGTTCACTCTCAACTGTAAAACGTAAAGATCTCATCGAAAAATAACATGGAAATACAGGAATTAAGAAAACAGATAATGCATGTTATGTATTGTTGTTACATCAGGATTCTGGCCAAAACAATGATTGAGAGAGCATTATACTCCTTGAGATCTCCGGCCAGTGTGGATGTAGCATGTGCATTAATGTAATTAACATCTTCCCTAGACACCCCAGACTGTTCTAAAGCCTTTTCAAAGCAGAGAATAACCCCGGCCCCTGTTTCCAAGGACATTAATAAATAAAAAACACCATATTGCTTAGTAAGATAGAGATGAATGATTAGAAAACGTGTTTGTGAGACCATAGAGCTTGAGGGAACCACAGGATACAGAACGTCCCTACGGTCATTGCACCTACAACCTTAACAGAAAAAAAGGATATCCAGACAGACACCCAATTGCCATTGCCAAGGTCATAGATTTAGAAAATACCTTAGCATGTTCTAACTCTTCCAGAGGCAAAACGCCAGCTCCTTCCCCCCTAACAAAGCCATCACGGTTCTGTCCAAAAACGAAAAACAAGATTTCGTTAAAAACAGCACCTGTTAAACGTTTCAAACTTATTCTTTCGCAATGCAATAACTTTGCACTTGTTAAACGTTTCTAAAATTAAGAAACTCAACTCTCAAGCTCAGTGGACAAGACTAGGTTTAGTTATAAATTACGACACATCATTTCAAAGAAGCTGACTAGATTCCAACACAAATTTACATTGAGACAACCAATATATGACATGCCCTTCAATGATTTTTACCATTCTTGTTCTTAACAACATTTACAGAAGTTTCATCATATAACCAATCACAGTGTAAATAAAAGAATAAATGAATCTAGCATAGTTATTGGTCGCATTACACTATCCCAAGGGCGTGACCCTCCAAGATTCTTCAAGATATTAATATTTTAATAAACAGTACAGGGCTATATTTGCCTCCGTCTCTAACCGAGGGCCAGAGGGCTAGAGAGCACGTTTTAGCCCTGTCACAAAAAACCATCTCCAACCGAGGGCCAAAGGGTCATAGGGCTAAACATAATTTATTATTTTAAAACTACAACTTAAATTCAAATCCAACGGCTAAGTGACGAGTAGGCGTTTACGTTTTATGTTTTTAAAAATGTTGTTAAATGTTTTTTTTATGTTGTATAATTTTTATGTTGGTTGATGTTATTTAATGTTGTTTCATATTGTTTCATGTTGTTTCATGTTACTTAATTTAATTTAATGTTGTATAATGGCCTAGGAAGTTATAGGAAAAAAATAGAATTAAAAAAAATATGAAACAAATTTTGTAAAATAGAAGTTATATGAAAAAAAAATATTAATCAAATTTTGTGAAATATAAGTTATAGGAAAAAAAATGGAATTTAAAAAGAATACGAAACAAATTTTGTAAAATAGAAGTTATATGAAAAAAAAAATATATTAATCAAATTTTGTGAAATATAAGTTATAGGAAAAAAATGAAACAAATTTTGTGAAATAGAAGTTATAGGAAAAAAATGGAATTTAAAAAAAATATGAAACAAATTTTGTAAAATAGAAGTTATATAAAAAAATATTAATCAAATTTTGTGAAATATAAGTTATAGGAAAAAAATGGAATTTAAAAAAAAATATGAAACAAATTTTGTGAAATAGAAGTTATAGGAAAAATAATGAAATTTAAAAAAAATATGAAACAAAATTTGATTCATATGAAAAGGATAAAAAATGAAAAAAAAATGAATACAACTACTAGCCATTGTATAAAAAAAAATTCAAACTATTACTGTCGGTTATAACCGACAGTATTAATAAAACCTTTATTAATGCTGTCGGTTACAACCGACAGCAATAAGAAAATTATAAAAAAAAAAATAGCCAGCCCAGGGCTGGCTGGCTGGTTGAAAGCAGCCCTTTGGCCCTTTGAAATTCCGTGGGGCCCTCCGAGATTCCCGAGCCCTCTGGCCTAGCTCTCGGTTAGAGACGGTTTTAGGGTTATTTTCGGCTCTCTGGCCCTTTAGACCCTTCAGTTGGAGATTGCCTAATCTCTCCCAAAAAGTATATAGTCTTATCTGAATTACATGTTTACAAAATCTCTTCCCCTAAAGAAAGAACAAACATAATGTAATTTTTTATCACAAAATAAAATCATGACAGTAATGTAATTTTGAATAAACGAAATTTTTACGTTTTCATTTTTTCCTTCACCCACCCACATTAAAAGCTAACATATCTCTAAATTTTTAAACTTGTTTCCATTTCTCTCTTTCACATTTCTCTAGAACTTGTCTACCTTCCCTATATTTTCCGACAACAAATTCTCCAGCTCGTCGAGAGAGATGCTCTCCCTCCAACTCGTCGAGCTCTCTCCGTCCAACTTGTCGAGCTCTCTCCCATGGCTTTTCCGTCGATTTTGAAGCTACGATTTCAGAGATGTTCTACTTTCAATACAATTTCGACTCGTTTCCCACTAGTCCATTGCGAATTCGATCTGCAGAGGACTCTCTGGTCTGTTGAGATCCGAGGTAATTTTGAATCGTTTCTTATGATTGGATTGAATTGTTTCGATTCGCTTTTTTTTTTCTTTCATTTTTCTGAATTTGTTTTTTATTTCGTTTTCGAAGAACTGATTGGATTGATTCATGAATAATTTGTATTTCTATGATTTCAGAGATTTGAGGCTGCGATTTTGAATATTGGAGGCTACGATTTCATAATTTTGAGGCTGCGATTTCTGGTTGTTAATACGTAAGTCATAAATCTAAATTCTCTAAGTTTCGTTTTAAGTTTCGCATCGTATAGAACCCTAGAAACTCACAAAATGCCTCGTTTCAGTTCGTTTTATTTTTTTATTTTTTCTCTAAGTTTGGTTAGATTTACTGGGATGGAGTTTGGGTTAAAGTTGCAGCCTACGGTGTCTTGCCTTTTGCCTTTTATGGGTCCTTTATTGTTCACAAAATCAACAGCTGGTGGAGATAGCGAGGGAATTTAAGAGAGAGATGCTCTTGTTGCTACTTATAAATTAGAAAGTGAATGATTGATTTTAATGCCATGGCTATTCAGTTAATTGTATTTAAATGTGTATGTGAAGGAGTTTTCTCACTTTAGATGATCCCCGACTCGTGATTAAACAGTAGTCCTACAATTCTACCGTCTCTGTGTGGATACTTGATTAATAAAGACAGGAACAGAGGAGTAGTTGCTTTACATGTTCATCCAAATGATGTAGTTCTTTGATCACCTTGTAGAAATTTTGTACTTATAATCCCATTTCTCCTTGTAGGTTTATATATCTGAATAAAACCAAGTTTTTAGGTAATTAGTGTTGAATTCATATTACTTCTTTCATTCGTGTATCTGAAAAAGGCCTGGATTAACTGAAAAAGTACACATCATGCCTTTCTTTTGGATGCTCGACTGTTGTGGTTTCCATGTTTTTGTGATTTCTAGAATATTAACCCTTCAGTGTATAATCCTATTCGTTTTGTTCTCATTTATCAACAGATTGCTGAGGAGGTAATGATCCTATTGATTCAACATTATCCTTCGATGTCAGTTCAAAGTTAAAAGTAAACTGAGGTATGCAAAGGTTGTATGTGTTTAACTACTAGTGCAGATGTTCTCTTCCGATTCTCATGGTAACATTTTTCAAGTTAGTTCACGTAGAAGAGTTGAGTCGTATAGGTGTTGTTTGAGCACTGCAGTCAAACTCATAGAGTATGATGGCGGGTCAAGGTGAGTGAAAGAAGGGAAACAAATATGAAATAGTTTACAAAGTAAATAATTTATGTTGGAGGTAGATGAATTGGGGTGAAACGAATAGTTCTTTATAGGTTTTATCTACTCTGTCTACTTCTGTGGTATATGAATATGAAGTATGTTTTCCTTCCATTGTTGTTTGTTTGAACTAATTAGAATTTGGTTTTGTTAGTCGAGGGCTGTGGCTTACTCACTCACAGTCACAGATATCTTTAGGATACAAATGTGGTTTCTGCATATTGAAGGCTAATATTATATTACTGAGGAGCAAATGTTGGAGAAGCTTTTCTCCATTGCTGGCATTTGAGGACTGAATTGGAAGTTCCTACATGGTTGTTTGGAAGTCCGTTGTTCATGCTTTTTCATAATAATGTACAAACCAGCTTAGCTCCGTAGATTTCTATTGATATCAACTTTGAGTTGATTTGTAGACGACTTTATCTTGTAGAAACAACTTTCCATTGATTTCATCAGCCTAATGATATTTCCGTTTTTTATTGATGATATTTTTAGATTTTAGGTAAGAGAAAAGCAAGTGTAAATGATAGAATGGAAGAAGTCTTTGATTTGAAGTTGTGATTAGTAGATTTTTGTTAACAGTCGCTAGTTGTTACCAATTGAGTTTTAGTTACTAATTTTTTTTATCATATACTATAGCATATAACCACACACAAAGTGTGCATGAAAGCTTTTTATTTTTGTTTTTAAAGTAGGAGAGAGGAAGAGAGAGAGAATGTTGGAGTGGGGAGAGAGCTTTAATTTATTTATTTTTAATTAGAGATTTGATAGAATCACATGTAGGTGAGGTTTAAAAAAAAAACAGCAAAATTTTGATAGTTTGAAATCACATGTAGGTGAGGGTTTGGTTAACAATGAATGTTCTATTAATATGTAGTTTATATATATAAAAAGAAGACAGAAAGGCAAACGCAAGATAATAGAACAATGAAATGGTCATCAAACCGTCTCTTAGTTTTAGAGATTAGTAAAGTGCAAACCAATATGTACGTACCCAAACTCCTAAGAAATCAGAAATTGCGGATCATCTGAAGCAGTCGGTTGCTTGCTTCTCATCCTCCTCAATATCAAAAGGAACATTGAGATCAATCTGTCTGCGTTTTGGATGATCATCTGCTGGCTCCGAAGATGAGGAAAGCCATTGCTGTTGCTGATCATATGCATCATCGACGATATCTGAGGATCCACGTGGACGAGGCCTCTTCCCAAGACTGCTCGGTGGTCTCAGAGGCAAGTGAAGCTGCTCCTCATCCTCCTCAATATCAAAAGGAACATTTGAGTCGGACGGTTGCTCTTGCTCTTGCTCCTCATCCTCCTCATCCTCCGAAGGTGAGGATCCACTGTTTTGGTTGCGCAATAGGGAGTGCACGCCGCAGCGTTTAATGGGACGCTCTTTGCACATACGAATTCCAACTTGACAAATATCTCCCTGCATCTCCTTCTTCCATAAACTCAATGTCGTAACAATCACATGAGTTGCCTTTAGCTCCTTAAAATGATGATAAAAAGCATTGGGGTAGTCGATGGTTCAAGAACAAAAGATACAGCCAACAATCCAGTTAACGTCTCCCCCACTTGTAATTTTAGAGGAATTTCAAAACGAAATTCACTGTCATATACATCCCGTGGATGTTTTAGTGGAGGTTGAATGGTTGTGGGATGGTTAGAGGTATAGCTGAACCACTTTGGAATTTCATTTCCTGGGTAAATAATGTTCAATTGAGAGCGCGGACCAATTTCCTGCAATTATAGATATACATAGTTAACAAATAACAAACATTTGTGATCTGATCTCTCTTTCAAGTATCAACAAAATTAATTTTCATTTGAACATAAATTAAGAAGAAGAGAGACCAACCTCATTCAACCACTCGTTTTCCAACTTTGCCGCTAACAACTTTGCCACCTCATCACCACTTAGTCTAGAGCAGTTAGACAGGTCAAGAAGCCTAAGCCTCGGGGGCAGTTTTGGAATTTTCTCCAATGATGTGCAATCATCCAGATGTAACGATTCTAGTTTTGGTGGAAGGACTGGAATTTCCCGAAGCGTCTTGCAATCCCTCAAGTCAAATGTCTTCAAGTTGACAGCTTCGCTAATACAATCCGGAAGGCTAACAAAATTGTTTCTCGACAGATTAAGTTCTCTTAATTCGGACCAGCAATCAAGAGGCACAAGGAAATCACTTTCTGATAATTTGCATCCGGAAAGATTAAGAGACAGCTGTAACCTCCGAGCCTTCTTTCCCTCTATTTCTGGGAAACTCTCGAGCCTTCTGCAACCTCCGAGAGGGAGAGAATTTTGAAGTTTATCAAGGAATCCAACTGAATCATGAACCTCGACCAAACTTGTGCAGTCACTTAGATCCCAGTGCTCTATGTTTGGGCATCCGGATAAGTCGGGGACATTTTGCAACTCACAACCATTTGCATTCAAGTCTATAAGCCCAGTAAGATACGCAATTGATGAAGGCAATTCTGTTATGCCAGTTTTTCCCATCTCCAAATACGACAGAGATTTCATCTTGTCCTTCTCTATTTCTGGAAATCTCTCCAAACTTGTGCAACCAGAAAGATCAAGCTCTATAAGGGATCTCAATCCAAGTCTTGTTGCAAACCTCGTAAGCTTAGAGCACCCACTAAGATCCAAGTACTCTATGCTTCCGGATAACTCGGGGACATTTTGCAACTCACAACCATGTGCCTTCAAGTACGTAAGCCCAACAAGATACGCAATTGATGAAGGCAATTCTCTTATGCCACTTTTTCCTATATTCAAATACGTCAGAGATTTCATCTTGTCCTTCTCTATTTCTGGAAATCTCTCCAGCCTTGTGCAACCTTCGAGATCAAGCTCTTGAAGGGATCTCAATCCAAGTCTTGTTGCAAACCTCGTAAGCTTAGAGCACCCACTAAGACTCAATTCTTCAAGTTTATCGAGGAATCCAACTGAATCATCAACCTCGACCAAACTTGTGCAGCCACTTAGATCCAACTTCCTTATGTTTGTGCTTCCGGATAAGTCAGGAATTTTTTCCAAAAATTCGCAACCACTTAAATTCATCAGTGTAAGCTTTGCAAAATCCTATAAAACCAAAAACAAAAACAAAACAAAAGTTCACATGCTTTAAAAAGAATATAATAAAACACTTGAGTATTTCTTTGGGAGATAAAATATATGTTTAAATAATAATATGATTCAAAATAATTTAAAGTATGTACCTTAAATTCCTTCAGTTGTCTTATGCCACAGTGTGGCACATCAAAACAAACAAGATTTCTTGGATGAAAATTGGATGACAAATTGAGCACAACCGTATGTTTAATGAATGGTTCACCCAAGTCAATCCACCTTAAACTGTTGGGCAAATAATCAACGCGTCCAGAAAATTGTGCATTACGGTTTATAAAAATTTCAAGTTTTACCATCCCCAAGAAGCTTTCTGGATTCAAGGGTATCACATTCACATCTGATTTGAGCGACTCCACCACAATACGTCTAATTTTCTCTGTTCCCTAAGATGGAAAAAAATAATGAAATATTGTTAACAAACCATGTCGTTTAATTAACAAACATAACACAACCCCTGTTTTAAAATTTTTGTGTTCTCTGTTCAATATCATGCCAAATCAAATGCAAGAACATATATTCTACTTACTTGGTTTTCAGTTAGAACATTGTACACATCTTCATAAAACCACAGCCTGCTCCGCTTGCCTGGTTCAGTGGGAGATTCTTCGTAAACTATTTGCTTACCCATTTTTTGTAGCAAGTCATGCATCAAAATCCGATCATGTTCAATAGTTATAATGGCTTTCTCAACGAGTACTTCAATACAATCTTCACGTACATTGAGCGTCGAACTTCTCAATATTTGTAACACGTAGTCTTTATCTTCACCCTTAAAGAAACATGCAATGTCTAGGAAAACTTGTTGCAGGCCAAAATCCCATGCATTATAAGTTTTTCGAAGTATTTTTTCAATAATTGTATAAGGTTCTCCATGGTAAGAAACGTAACCATCCAATATATCTTGCCAACGATCTATACGTTTATTACGCAAATGAGTACCTATAATATTAAGAGCCAACGGAAGGCCTTGAGCATAGGCTATTGCACGTCGTGCGAGGCTCATATAATCATCTGGAGGTCTATTTCTTTCGAAAGCATTCAAACTAAAAAGCTCAAGTGCTTTGTCGTCTTCTAACATTTTGACTTCATATATCCACTGGCCTCCATAAAAATCTAGCAAACTTCTATCTTTTGTGGTTATGATCACCCTGCTACCCTCACCGAAACAATCGACATCAACCCAGTTTTTTATCTGCTCCTCCAATTGATCCACATCATCAAGAATTAAGAGAATCTTCATTTGCCTCGACAGTTTCTTTATAAGTCCGATTCGATCATGAACACCGACAATTTCCAACTTTGTGCCACGTAGAATTTTAGATAGAAAAGTCTTTTGTAGTTGGATTAGGCCTTCAAGTGATGTCAATGTTTCTCTAACATCTGCCAGGAAACAACAAACTTGAAACTTGCGAGCAATTGCATTATAAACCGCTCTTGCAATTGTTGTCTTGCCTATTCCAGATGTCCCCCAAATCCCAACCACACGACGACCATTTCCATCAGCACCTAAAAGATATTTCACCTCTTGTACGCAAGATTGTATTCCAACCGGGTATTTGGCCACATCCAAATATGTGCCATCAAGTACTTTGAGTAAGATATCCTCAACAATGTTGCCGATTAACGTAGCTTCATAGCTAGCAGTTAAAAACAAATCACACAATTAATCACTGAACTTTTTTTTTTTGGCTATATTTCAGAAAAACGTAGAAAAGAATGTAAAAACAAATAGAAAGGAAAATTACACGATATTAATAAAAAAGTGTACTTGAAAATATTTCTATGTTTCTATCCAAAATGCACTAGTAATTAACTATACTGATGATATTATTCCTGGAAACTAATTATATAAATACACGGTAAGGGGGAAGAAATATACGTACTCTCCTTCCTTGAGAGGATGTCCTGACAAATTTGCTGCTTCTCTAAGAGCACTCCTCCATGCGAGGATCTTCTCCTTATTGTCCTCGAATTTGCACTCAAGTTTTTTGAACTCGTCACCGAAACTACTCGTTTGATTTCGTACATGGGACGGATCCACCTTATAAAAAACTGGCAAAACTATTTGTTGCTTTGACTGTCTACATTGAAGAATCTTGACGAGCTCGTCCAAGCACCACCTTGAAGCTGCATAGGTTTTAGAGAATATGACGAGAGAAATTCTTGACTCTTCAATTGCTTGGAGGAGCGCTGGTGATATTTCTTCTCCTCTTACAAGTTGGCGATCAATGAAGGTGTGGATTCCCTTGTCGACCAACGCCTTGTATAAATGATCTGTAAAAGTGGTGCGTGTATCCTCTCCTCTAAAGCTCAAAAAGACATCATATCTCCACGAAGGAGTACTATCGATACAAAAGGTAGAAGAAGAGGAAGAGGAGCAGGGGACAAGTTGATTATTCATTGGAGAAATCCAGGTAAACTAAAGAACCTTTCAAAGGATTGATTGTGGATTCTGGACTGGTATTCGTGTCAAGACTTCGCTCTTGCTATGCATACTTATCTTGCTATGTAGGAATCAGCAGTTTCCTCCACCTTCAATGTGAATGTGGACTCTCTCTTTGTCATGTTAGTCCTCATGCTTTTCTCCCTACCTACCAAGCAGTTTCCTAGATACCAGCAACCTTTCAATGTGAACGGGGTCAAGTTGACAGATAGGAAACTTCTTAGCAACTTCATTTAAAAAGCGAATATTAATTTAAACGTAATGTCAGGACGATTAAATTTGTAAAGTAAATTACATAAAAATTAACGATTGTGTTATTATTTGGATATTGATTAACGATTTAGCGTGCTTATTTTTATATTAACGACATTAATTAGTTTACAAATTTTATTTTTCAAGTATTACCTTTAACTTAAAAGAGAGGAAGTTTCGTGGTAAGCTACTGTTTACTATTTTTGATGGAACGATCCGTAATGATATTCTAAGATAAACACAGACGACTGAAAAATATAAAATGGTTTGTTGGCACGTGGTCTTTAATTGAACGAAGATGTATCTTATTAATTTGTTTTGTTATGCCTTTGGAACTTTTTGTTTCTTTGACGAGCTACCGACTCACCTTGGTTTTGTCTGTATTTTATTATTCATTGATATTTGTCATCACCCATGGCTTTTCTTCACCAATGACTTTATAATTCCGAACCATTTGCCTCTTTTCAAAGGCCACGTCTTTGTGTTGTATTCTTTTTATTCGCTGGATTTAATTAATTAATAGTTAGGCTGAATAAATGAGCCACACATGATTTTTCTCTGTTTTAAAGTGACGAGTTTAAGCATCGAAGACCGGATTCGCAACCATGTGGAGAGCAGAGACATTGAGCTCGTTTAGATGTATTTTTAAAATAATTAATTAAAAGCGTTTTTGATGAAAATATTTTTAGAAACAATCATTAGTAAAAATGCTAATAAATTCTTAAAAATCACTTAAAGTTCTCCATGGAATGCTTCTTATAGAAAACATTTAAGTGCTTTTAAAAACCAAAAATATTTTCTCTAAAAACACTTTCAGTCATTTTAAAAGTACATTAAAACAAGTTCATTGTCTACAAATGTGGAAGGTGGGGTACGTATAGGAATAATGAGTTCACGAAAAAGCTAACAGAATCCTCGTAATTATGGTATGGTGTATGGACAATGGACTCTCTCTTGTTATATACTAGCAATTGTGACCGCGTTGTTGCAGGTTTATAAAGTGTCTGTATGAGATTTGTAAAAAGTTTTACAGACACGTGTATTCGTCATTTTTATAGTAAGGAATAAACAGATAGGGATAACAGATGGTTCAGTTTTGACCTGGTGATGGAGGAATTGTAAGAAACAATATAGATGTAATACAATAGTTAAAGTTGTACTGTAGGGTGTGAAAAAATATTGATTCAGTTTGTGGAGGGTTGTTAAGTCTGTAAATTGATAGTTAACATGTAGGAGAGTGTTATGATAATTAATATGCAACTCAGGAAAAAATAATATTGTTTTTGTTAATAATAGAGGCCCATAAGATTCTGAGTCTCACAGAAAATAATTATACAGTTGACCAAGAAAAGAAAGAAATAAAATATTTCATACAATATCTGCAGAGGGAATACTTACAAATATATAGAATGACCAATCAGTTTGATAGATGAGGTGCAGAAGAATTGGAATCCAAATTCGCAGAATTTTTTTTTTTTTACGCTGATATTAATCTGCAGACAATTCCAAATAAAAAAAGATCAAACCTCCACAGAAACATGGAACAAAGCTGTAACATCACTCAAACCACTCATCATAACAAAAAGAAAATTGAGGTCCCACGAATATGACTGCCAAATTTATGTACCTTAGAATAATTCAATTCAACTGCAAAGATAGAGAACTGATAAAAAATTTAAAAAAACTGATCCAAAATTTTAACATGACAGACAACATTATAAATCTCTTCAAAATAAGTTGCCATGAAAAAGAGTCAACATTTTTTTATTGCAATTTCAATACACCACACTAATTTTGAAATAACATGTTTAATTCATTCAAAAGAAGGGGAAAAAAATTTTAGTTAGTTTATATAATTTTTTATACAGAGCTTTAAAATGCCTTGCTTGATTCATTCAAAAGTAGGGAAAAAAAAAGGATTTTCTAATCAAATTATCCTGTAGAGTTCAATGGTTTAGGTCACATGGACAAAAGTTAAATTGATCTTCAAATGACATGCTTAATTGACTGAAAAGCACAAAAAAAAAAAGGGAAACTCGGATTCCCAACCTGGAAAGTTGAATGCTTTATGTACGGGACGCGGAATCAGACCAACGGCTAAGAGCTTGTGTAAATGGAAGGAACAGATGAAGATCTGGAAACAGGGGCCTTGGAATTAAAGAATTGAGATCAAAGATGAAAGATTTAAATGGGAAAATTCGAAGAGAATGAACATGAATTACATACCTTAATTGGAAAAGGGCCTGCAAACACGCGGCAGCAAAAACCCTAAAATTGCAAGACCAATCTTTCCTGAAATAAACAACGTAATCGGCCCAAAAATAAGAAATCAGTCAACGCGAAAGACCAAGACTTGAATCTAACAAAAATGAATTTGAAAATTTTCTTGATAACCAAACAAAAAGTAAAATAACAGATGAAGAATCGCATCTAAAACGACGCGATTCGTTTGCAGAAGACGGCAGAAACAAACAGAACAACCAAATTTCTAAGCGATGAGATCGGATTGAAGAGAGAGACGGAAAGAAATAAGCAGAAAAAACGATGGCAATTGCAAACCCTTCCAGCGACTTCGGTGTGAAGAACGACGAAGAGCCAACCACGAAAGAGAGGGGCAGAGTTGCCAAATCACTGCACAATCCAGAAGACCAAAAAAATTTGCTCAGCAACACTGTTAATGAACAGTTAACTTCCGCTGAGTTTTAACTTTTAGTAAAGAAGGGACAATTTGATTGGCCATAGGAGAATTAAAGCCAGACCATAAACTAAAGAAAAAAGCCTCTCGGATAATTGGAATATGCAGTATGGTTTAGTGTATGGACAATGGACTCTCTCTTGGTATATAGATCAGTCATCATGCTTTTCTCCCTACCAACGAAGCAGCTTCGTAGTTACTACCTTTCGATGTGACTGTGATAAAGTGAATGATTAAAGTTGACACGAAACTTCTCATCTCTTTCGTTGCAATATCATTTCATCAAACAATTTGGTTTTTTGTTACCGACACGTTCTTTTTCCATACGCCACATATTCATAAATCTGATGATCTTGATGGGTCAATTCATTGTCTCATCACACTATCATTAGTTGGAAACCACTCAGCTACAATTATTTACCTTTTTCTTTCGTTTATATAATAAAATGATTCTTTGGACATTATTTTTTCCTCTTTCATGCAATGCGTACCGACGAAATGCAATTTCTTTTACATAAAACATATTAATTAGCACCATAAATATGAAGGAAATCAAATTAACCACTGACATGCCATCAAATGTGCATGTTTGGATTTTTACTTTTACACTATAAATCGATATAAAAAATTTCATGAAAGATTATGAAAGAATATAAAATACATAATAAATATGCATAAAACACAAAACACATGAAATATATATAAGAAACACATTCAATCTAAGTGTGGTACTGTTGTTAGTGTTTATAATAAATTTATGTTTACTAGTATATGGATATATAACATCGAATCTAAGTTGACAAAGAATGATTTGCTTCAATTATACCAAAAAAAATTAATTATCCTCATTTCACCAATTAATTGACAAGTAATTAATTAGTCATCATTTCACCATCTAAATCACTTAAATGAGGTTAATGTCTCGATTAGTCAAAAGAGCCATTGGGCTCAATATTCAATCCAACAAGTGGCTGTACAACCCACGTGGGTGGGGTCCCCTCCTGCAGAGGCTGGCCTTGTATGGGAGCCTGTGCTTCAATTTCCGTGTATGTGCTTTTAACGCATGGTTCTCCATTTTGCAGAAGTGGGCTACTATAATAATAGATCGGTATACAAGGGAGAATCCTCGCTGCATCCTCCTTACGAGGATTTCCGAAATCTTTAAATCATATTCGTTTATTTTATATCGTACGGTCAGAAATTATGTAATTTTTTAATTTAAAATTAAATATAAATCATACTTGACAAAAACTAGTCTCACAATGCACGATAAAGAGGATCTCCGAGATCCTCACAAAGAGGATCGACAAGGATCCTCTCTCTCAGTATAGAACTCGTCATTTCCAAAAGAGTAATGATAGAGAGACTAAATTTATATATTAAAATTGTAAACTAAATAATGTGTCACCAATAAAAAATGAGCACGTTTATCAATGTTTAAATAATAATCAAATTATCAATGGACTCTCTCTTGTAATATCAGCCCTCACTTTTCCTCCTACCTGGAGAGCAGTTTCCTACCTATTACCTTCACATGTGAATGTAATCAAGCTAAAAGAGAAAAAAATTTAGTGACAACTTCTTTTCAAAATTGATTTATACGAGCATTTTCATATATACCACCTTTTAATGTGAGAGTAATTTTCGTGACAACTTGATTTCATCAACAATGATTTATTTTTCTTTACTAACGCGCTCCTTTTTCACCTCATATCACCAGCACGATGCAATGCAACGTGATGCTACTATGTTCGTATGTCAAACCAATTTTGCACATAGAATAGTTACTTGAGTTGAATACTGCAACAAAAGCACTTTAGATTGTTAAGTGGTTTTCTTCACACCTTTTGTTTTTTTTTCTTTTGTACTCCCTTTTTTATTTGAGGGCGAACCTGAGCACAATGGAAAGGTTGCTCCATTGTGACCAAATGATCATGGATTCGAGCCGTGAAAACATCATCTTTGCAAAGCAAGAGTAAGGCTGCGTACGATAGATGTTCCTCCTCCGACCCTAGCAAAGCAGGGAGCCTTGTTGGCTTGTGACTCTCTTTTTACTTCTACTTAGAGGTTGACTCCAATGAAGTTCAGACTTGTTTATTTTGATTTTGTGATTTGTTTGGTGTTACACCCTTTGTCACACCACATGGGAGGAGACTTATGTTCTTCCTCTCTCATATGGATGCTACACACCACACACATTGTTCTCTCTAGTGTCTACATGTGTTTCTACTCTCAAACATTTTAAAAGCACTTCTAAACGAAAAGGCTTCTGACTCTTCTTTAATTTGCGGGCCTATTTTTAATTTTGGGCTTTGTTGTTAGGTTCGGCCCGGTTTCTAATATTCGAGCCCCACTTCTTGATATTTATCACCCCGTTTCCCGTTGGTATGACATTTACTATGAGAGGAATCACCGAAAATACAGTGAGGGACATCTTCGAACACATCAAGAATACAAGTCATAGTTCATACCATGACCTTTTATATAGCCTTTGGAATCCTCTTGGTATTGTTATAACCATTTTGTACTCATGCCCTTGTTGCTTTCTTTTTGATCACGTAGACGCCATAAAGGTATTTTGTTTTGACCATTTTCTGCTCTGGAGATCTAAAATGAAGCTGTTGTTGGTCTTCTAAAACGCAACTCTGGCTCACTTCGGGTTTTGGATGACTCTGAGGTATCTACAAGAAACTTTCATAAATACATATTAATTAGCACCACAAAACATAAACCTGCAGGAAATCAAATTAACCAGTCTGGCATGCCATACAACAATATATTTACGCTATAGGACATGAGAGGTTTAAACTAAGTTACATAAATAAATCCATATGAAACTCGTCATTTATGAAAGTCAAACTTAAAATCCTACAGGTATAAGTTCGACAACATAACTTAAAATTGGGGGAAAAAAACAATCCAGACTTTCAATTTGGGGAAAAAGAATACAGACTTTCAATTTTTTGTTTTTTGGTAAATAGACTTTCAATGTGGTTACTCATGACTTAGGAGAACCCCCATCCCATATAAAAGTTTTGATTGTGGATTGAAGCCAATGAACTAGAAACTGGAACAATCAATAAATTTTAATGGTATAATATGGTACCTACAAAATATAGAAAGAGTTCAGCATCCTAGGGCTACTTAACACATACAAAACATGTAAGTTAATCCGATGTGAGATTCATTCTCAAAAAGCTCTTTTATGTGTGGACAACACGAATCGGGTGACGTTGAGCTCGTATGATCGTTGGGCTTTGCACATGCGACAATCTGCTCTAATATCATGAAAGAAGTTGAGATTTCATCGTAAAATCAATTGCCAATATAAGAAATATTTCAATTACTTATAAACACATATAAAGTCACTTTTTTACCCGATGTAAAATTCACTCTCAACATCAGTAAGCCATTCAGAACTTAACATATGGATTTTCATTCACGTCATTTCATCTTAGAAAATGGTGAAGAATAAAATGTCTACATGTCTCCTGGATTGATGAAACCCAACTTTTCGTCAACAAAGTTTCCCAGTCAACTAAGTCACTACCCAAAATCAAAAGAACAACTTCCAGGACATTTCTTGGTATATGCAGTATTGTATGGACAATGGACTCTCTCTTGTTATATCAGTCCTCATGCTTTTCTTCCTACCTACGTTGCAGTTTCCTACCTACTACCTTCAAATGTGAATGTGATCAAGTTGAAAGAGATGAACTTTCGTAGCAATTTCATTTCAAAAGTGATTTCTATGAAGTATTTTCTAACAAACTACCCTTCAATGTGAGAGTAACTTTCATAACAACTTGCTTTCATCAACAATGATTTATCTTTTTTTACTGAAGCATTCCTTTTTCACCTCATGTCACCAGCATGATGCAATGCAACATGACACTACCATGTCCGTATGTCAAACCAATCTTGCACATAAAAAAGTTACTTGACTTGAAATATTGCAACAAAAGCACTTTAGATTGTTAAGTGGTTTTCTTCACACCTTTTTTTTTCTTTTGTACTCCATTTATTATTTGAGGGTGAATCTTGGCACAATGGAAATGTTGGTCTTTTGTGACCAAATGGTCATTGGTTTAAGTTATGGAAACAGCTTCTTTACAAAGCAAGAGTAAGGTTGCATACGTAAACGTTCCTCCGCCATCCCTTGCAAAGCTGCCGGGGAGCCTTGTTGGCTTGGTACTCCATTTTTTTTCCTACTTAGAGCTTGGCTCCAATAGAGTCCAGACTTGTTTCTTTTGATTTTGTGATTTGTTTGGTGTTAGAACTTTGTCACACCACATGGGATGGGAGGAGACTTATGTTCTTCCTCTTTTATATGGATGCTACACTAAACTACAGAAACAATGCATATTTTGGAAGATATTAATTTCTTCCAATCCTATTCCCGTCCTGTACGGCTGTGTGGTGGTGGAGAGTATTACTCTCCCACTTGATAACCTTTTTTTTTTTCTCCTTTTTTTTCACCTTTTGTAATGTGAGCAATTGGCGTCATTGCCAGAAAAGATGGACTTTTTTCACCCATGTCTTGGGACTTTGCTTACCAAGTGGTCCAGAACTGGAGCCACATTCGAAGAAATTCAGAAAGGAGAAATGCAATTATTATTATTTTTTTTTTTATAACAAACAATAGTATTTATACTAAGAGGTGAGGGAGTGGGTAAGGGATGGGCAAATACCCATTGGTTATGGGTAACCGCGGTTACCCACCCATTTAAATTAAACGGTTATGGTTATGAGTAACCGTTTAGATAAATAAAAGGTTATGAGTATAACCGTTTACCCGCGAAATTTAAATGAGCGGTTATGGATATTAACCGTGGTTATAAACGGGTAACCGTTTACCCATTTATTTTATATATGTAAATTTAACACAAATCATGTTCCTTATTTGACAAAACTTAGATCAATGTTATTGACTATAGTGCATGATTTATGTAGCTAATATAATATAGTTTTCCTTAACTACTTTAAATTTCATGGTCCATTATATATATTATGTTAATACACAGGCGATCAACGAGATCAACAGGGATTTCGCGTGGGGATTTATAATTTGTGCCTCTGGTCGTAGTTCTGTTGGTAGCAACAACTAATAACCGCGGTTACCCGCCCGCCATAACCGTTGCCCATCCCTA